GGAGACTGCTTAGCACATATGGAAATCTAATGCTCTGTACAGTACTGTATAAACAGTAAAGGGATGTGGTTATCTTGAAAATCTTATTTAAATCTGACCATTTTGATATTGTTACAAGTTAACTCTGAAAAGGACTATCATTTGAAAGACAGAGGGGAAAACTATTTTCCCTCTGTTTATCAGTAAGTTTCCTTTGTGCTTTGACAGCACTTTGTGTATGGCCCATTGCACTTCCTCCACTAACACAATGACCTCTCTCTTGCCACAGGAAGACAGTATCAGATTTGCACTGTCCCATAAATAGGGCTTCTGATTTTCAGTTTTTATGAACACCAATAAAACACCCCCCCTTAAAAAAAATAAACTGGAGTTTATCCAATAAACACCAGCAATGGTTACTTGTATCTAAGGCTCATCTACACAGAGCAGTAATGCAGACTACAAGGGAGTGATTTCTAAAGCATAAAGCAAATATAATAGAAGCCCTACCCATATACCATATGTGTAAGATAGTCCTCTCAGAGCACCCCCTTGTGGCACAACATGGCCCTGCTGATACTGGCTTTAGCTCTATCTGGGGCCCTTGTAAGAAGTCACCCACAGACAAGAATACTGTAAACTAAGATTTCTGCTTTGTAAGGTTTTATTTATTAAGTCTCTAACAGCAAATCAAACCACTCCTTCACTCCTCCAGTCCAGCCCTTGTTCCCAGGATCCTATAGCCCTCCTCCTATGATCTGCTGCACTCTTAACTCACATAGGTTTTTCCCTTCTTAAGTCAGAAATGCCACAGCTCTCCTTTTGGGCTCTGTACTGATCATTCAGGCCAGCTGCAGCCTTTACACAGCTCCATCAAAGCTAGCCCCTTTCAACTCTATAAAGCAAAACAGGCCTCAGCTCCCTTTCTGGAAGCTTCCCTTTTATTACCAGGCCTGAACTAATTTACCCATATGACCTCCCAGTCATAGAGCTACTCTAATTTCCTGCACCTGGGGAGGCAGACGAGTCACAGGTGGGAAAAGGGCCAGTCAAGCTGTCACCTTGTGACAATGCAAAGCACAGTTGCGCACAAGTTTGCCTGCTGGTTTGTACTGCGGGTCACTTTGTAAGAAAAAGTCTGTCATGTGGACTCATCTCCCATCCCAACACCTCTCTAATCCCACTTCTTGGTTCTCATAGGATTGTATTCTATGAGGCCAGCAGGAGGTATGCTTTTCCACAGGCCTTGCAAGAGGATGGTAAAAAAGCAGAGGCAAAGCTGAAACTGAAGGCAGGAAAGTGCTTAGACAGAAAAGCAGATGTGTAACTCTGACCATGTCTGGTGATGATAATCACAAACCTTCCAAGGGGCCCTTCTAAACATCAGCCGGGGCCAGAGGGGTGAGAGCAGAAAAACCCTTGTACAGTTATTTTTCCTTTTAAAATTATTTAATTTCCCTTTGATTTGTTAATCCTCACACCTCTCTTCCTCCCCCTCGCCCCCCTGCAAGCATACATAGGTAAGTAGAAGTAATCCCATTTTTCAGGGGAAGACACAGAAAAGGTAAATAGTTTGCCCAAGATGCAATAGCCTGCCAGTGATAAAGGCAAGATTAAAACTCAGGAGCACAATGGATCCTAGCCTGGTGCTCACTCCACTAGGCAATGCTTTCTGTCTCATTGCTGTTAATTTTTAAGCTCTTCGCAGAGTTACATGTCAAGGTAACGTGCATTCTTGGCTCTCCGGAAAGGTCTGCCTTTTATAACCTGAAGCATTTAAAATCTTTTATGTCTCCTTTGTGCACAGTATATTTTTGAGGTCAACAAAGGGTTACCAGACACTAATTTCCAGGAGAACATGCATAATTTCTGGGATTTATTTTTAGTTAATGCTCTCTATCTGCAAGACCACATACGGAGCCAGAGTTATTTATGCTTACAGGATTCTAAATAAAATATAAACCCAAGAATTGAAACCACATTTGTCTCTTTTCCTTCTGTCTCCCATATCATGATAGTTTTAAGTGTGTGCTGTTTTGGTATTGGTGAAAGGCTTTGCTTTATTTGACCTTCAGGTAGTGGGTGAAGCCCCAGAGGAACAATAATGGCTGTTACAAAAATAAAAAAGGAAAGAAAAGAAAAAAGGAGGGGCCAGAAAGACAGAGGTCAGCTAAAGGGATTGTTGCCAATTCTTGTGGTTTTAGTGCAAGTCTCACAATATTTGGTGTTTTTCTTAAAGCCCCAGCTACTGGAATAAGACATTGCAAAAGAATCTCAGCTTTCATTTTAAAATGAAGTAATTTTATTTATTTTGAAGAGAAGAGCTTGAAAAAGTGGCCCAAGAACACTTTGAAGGCTCAAAAATCATTACACAAAGAAAAAGAAAACAAAAATGTATGATTAAAAAAACCTGTGATTTTTAAGTCAATATCATGATTTTGGGGAGCTTGACTCATTATTTTTTAACAGGGTTGGCCATATTGTAAATGCCTTAGGACAAATATAAAGGGCTGAAGTTGCGGGTTCACTCAAAGGGTACCAGAAGAGAACAGATAGCAGAGACCTGTGGACAGGACCCACTGCTCTGAGAAGGTGTCAAGGAAGACAGTGAATACTACTGAAGGGAAACTATGGTCATTCTGCTTATTTTCTTATCTGTACTTAACTTACTTATTTTACTTTCATATCTCTACTAAAACTACACTTCTAATATGCATTATCTTACTCTTCTAGATACTCTGGATTTTCTTCATACACAACAAGTCTCAGAAACTGCTCCACTAAGAACCTTTTCTGGTGTTGGTTTGTTCCCATGGGCTCTTACAACTGTCACTGCACCAAACTCTTTCATCCACTGACAGAGAAGGGAGGAATTCACCTGGTTTTGAGAAATAGATGCTCACCAGAATGTATTTATTAAAAGCTCTTCCTTTCCTACGTATACATGCAAATATAATATTACTATTATTTTAGTATACAGTTCCACCCCCAAGTTTCTGATTGGATGGTGGAGGAGAATGACATCTGAATGAACTATGTGTTTGGTTAGCATTTTCCTTTAGAAACATTGTACTAGTGAGGTAGTTTAGCTCCTCCACAGAGAATAGGTGGTTTGCTCTGAAGAGAGACAACTGGAGACAGGTATCAGATGGGACCTCCAGAGGAAAAAAAACAGGAAGGAAATTAAAAGAAACAAAGTAATCAAGAAGTAGATAGTAGCAAGTTCCAGTGGGAGCAGGAGCAATAGAATTAAAGGGTGTCTACACTTCGAGCTGGAGGGTGATTCCCAGCTTGAGGACACATATTTATGCTAGCTCTGATCAAGCTAATGCACTAAAGAGAGTGTAGTTATGGCAGCATGAAGGGCTAACCACACAGAGTACATGCCTGTCAGAGAAACCAGGTATGTACTTGTGGTGGTTAGCTCATCCCGCCGCTCACGTTGCCATGGCTACATTCTGTTTTTAGCACACTAGTTCACTGAGAGCTAGCCCAAGTATGTCTCCTTAAGCTAGGAATCACACCCCCAGCTCAACATCCATGTAGACATACTCAAATGTGAGCAGCCACACAGCAAAGTCAGACATACCTGAGCTAATGTGTCCTCACTGGTGCTGCACTCACCCCTGGGTCCTTAGGCGTTTGGGGGACATATCCCATGGTTCTTGGTACTGCTCTTCCCAGTAAATTGTGGAAAAACTTGTCTGTCCTTCTAGGCAATGGGGCGGGGAACATGAAGTACAGTACTTCTGCACTATAAACTGGGAGGGTTACCAGGCCAAGTAAAAGTGGCACCTGAGCTCTAACACCCAGCTAAACTGGGTTTAAAGCATCACTAAACTCAGGTCAGAGTATTTTGAAGGGGGGGGACTTGAGGGTGAGATTATGGGCAACAGCTGATTAAGAGCCTGAGTTAACTCTGCAGGGACAACAAAAGTTGCAAAAATGAACTGCATTTTAACCCTGTCAAAGGAGTAGGTTTTATAGTTATTTGTGCCAGATGTCACAGGGATAGGTGCTGCAGTAACACCTACAAATAAACCATGATTATCTGAAGGCTAATTATCCAAATTTGAGTTGTCTGGACTTTGTTTCTGTCTCCCATTTCTGCACAGTGAAATTAATCAGAAACACTGATTTTGTGAACTTTTTGAATGTTTGCTAAAATCTTTGAAAAGTAAGAGTTACCTATATAAATGTAAAACCATGTATAAGTGTGTAGTTGGGCCCTTAAAGCACATAGGAAGAGACAAGTCCTTGCTCAGGTCTCCACTAACCACAGCTTTGTTTGGGAATGATTGGGTATTCCCCATTTCAGGTCTTTCCAGGGTGGTTTGTTTCATTGACATTGAGGGCAGGGGAGCACAGCACAGAAGAAATATCTGCTTTTTATCTAAGCTATGTAGAGTGTGTCTAGATGCCACAGTTGGTCAGGAATTCTTGTGATAAAAATAATTAATTAAAATTAAAATAGCAAACTAGGTGTAAACTTAGCTCATTGCATGCAACCTTCCTTGTCCCTTCTCCAGTCCCCAGCCTAGCTCCTGTCTCTTGGGAAAAGCATATCTAGCTAATCTCAACATTGCTGGGTGAAACCACCACCAAATAGCAACTCTGTGCTTAGCAGTAAAGGAACACCTGGCTCTGAGGGCACGCTGAGTATGGCTTTGCTTACCTTTATGTCAGGGTTTACATGTGATGGGCAGGGGTTACACTGGGGGCCATGTGCATGCGTCTGTTTGTGGGTAACGTGTGTGATGGACCATGACCATTTGTCACCGGGCGTCACTGGTAGGGTGACCAGACAGCAAGTGTGAAAAATTGGGATGCGGGTGGGGGGTAATAGGAGCCTATATAAGAAAAAGACCCCAAAAATCGGAACTGTCCCTATAAAATCGGGACATCTGGTCACCCTAGTCACTGGGGTGACACTGGTCCCTGGGGGAGCTGGCTCGGGGCTTGCCCAGTGTGGGACTCGCCGCCTGCAGGTCCCTTGCTCGGGTCAGGCCCGGCTTTGCTGAACCGAGGGCGCCCCCTAGCGGCCGCTCGCAGCCCGGCTTTCCGGGAGAGACGCCGCTTGGCCGCCCCCGGACCGGCTCAGGCGAAGCGGCCGGTGCTT